CGTGATGCTCGGGCTTATCAACCGTATCAAAAGCGACGACCTCTCATCGATCTCATCCGCAATGAGTGGAAAAATAATTCATACACGCCATCCTCATCCTCTCCCGGATCCCCAGGTTACTCTTCTCCCAATTGGATACAAGTATGTTCAGCACCACGAGTTCGGCGATATGTGCTCCTTCTGTTCATGCTGCTGAGCTTGATATGGGGGAATTGGCATTACTGGGCAGGCCCTTCGTGGACCGAGCACCGGCTCCTAAGCCAATCGTTGAATCAGAGGATGAAGACGGGGGAGGGTTGGTTTGGGGAGAACTTGAGGCCGGAATTCCTGGACATGGTCCAGGTGAAGACGCTAGATCAAGATCTTATCCCGGCTAGAGAAGACCGGAGGAGGTTGGTTGTTATCGGAGATGTGCATGGTTGTAGTGATGAACGTAAGTCTATCAATCGGCTTTCTTAGCCCGCTATAAGAAATACCACGTAGTTGATACGCAGCGGTAACAGTGGAGAACCTGCTGGCAGAAGTGCAATACGAAGCCAGGACCGACCATCTGATCTTCGCCGGCGACTTCATCTCGAAAGGCCCGTCTTCTCCAGCTGTCATCGACCTTGCCATTTCAGCTCACGCTTCTTGTGTCCGCGGCAACCACGAAGACCGTGTTCTCCTGGCCTACCGCGATCTGTATTCTCATCGTTTAACCCAAGAGCAAAAGGGCAAAAAGGCGCCATCACCGCCCGCAGCTGGCATGCCCGAAGACATGAGGCAGAACGACAGCGAAGATGAGGGCGAAAATCTAGAAAAGCAAAGCTTTTCGCATGGTGATGCCGTTGATCGGCGGCTGGCCGAATCGTTCACAAAGAAGCAGATCGATTACATGGCTTCTTGCCCCGTGATACTAGGTGTAGGCCAGATTAATGGCCTGGGCGATGTCCATGTTGTACACGGTGGTCTGGTGCCTGGTGTGCGTTTGGAAAGACAAGATCCCATGGGCGTGATGCACATGAGGACAATCGATCTTGACACCCACGTCCCGAGCAGCAGCGCGAAGGGAACACCGTGGTTCAAAGTATGTATTTCTTAAATCTATTGGCTCGTCACCACTCCATTCACGATTGCACGTCTCGGATACTAACGGGGTTCCTAGCTATGGAACAAGTATCAGTCCCTCATCTCTTCACACCAACGTTCCACTGTCATCTATGGCCACGACTCCCGCCGCGGCCTACAAATCCAGAAATATAGCAAAGGACTGGACACCGGTTGTGTCAAAGGTGGGAAGCTGTCTGCGCTGATCATCGACGCCGACGTAGCGGCAAGGGAGCCCAAGGTGATGAGTGTACAATGTAAAGATTACCGGGAGCCCGAGGAAAGAAAGGAGGCCAAGACGTGAGGAGACGGGTACATGTTTGAAAAACGTATATAGCAGAGGATGATGGATGTAGAAGCACAAGACGCGTTAGCGGATATGCTTCTCAGGTTGTGAGCAGAAGACGCATTCACCACGGTTTCTTGACGCAATTATTGACACACAAACGGTTAGCTTCATGGACCAGATACCCAGGCATGTCCGAAACGCCTTTGGTCAATATTTAGTCTTTACTCAAAGGGTTGCTATGAAGAGATACTATTGCTGTTATTGATTGTTGACTGACCAATAGGTATTGAGTTTTTAGACTGTGGATGTTTTCATAGTTTTACGGCGTTCATCGCAACAACATCTCATGGATGCTGCAATTTGATGCTTCCTGAATCAGCACTTATCGTCCGGCCCAACTTGCTTAGGCCCTGAGTCCTTGCATCATGTTATGGATGGTATCAATGACAACTGGAAAAATGCTTCCCACACTATCCACAATCAAACCCTCGAAGTGTCTCATCGCCTCCTCTTCGCTCATCTCAAGATGGAACCTCTCTCTCACCTTCTCCACCACCCGTCCCGGCTCCACTTTGATATCAGGGATGTTTGCATCCACCATCAGACTGAAAAGGTTCAAGATCAGATTGCTCGACTTCCGCAATGTCGTGTAGGCTGTAAAGCAGTACGATTTGAAGGCGGCGTAGTGTGGAGAGGTGGAGCTACCCATACCCTCAACCATTTCCTTACAGAGTTTCATCTGCGGCGCGAAGGGTTTGGGGTCACGGCCCAGTATGTAGCCAAAATCAGCGTGGAAGAAGCGTCCGGATGGCGCGAGGAGGAGGTTGTCAAGATGGCGGTCTCCCACACCCAAAAGGTAAGTGATCACGCAATAGCCTGCACAGGATTTCACGTAGGTGTCCATGGCCGACGGCCGTACACCCAGATCGCCAGTGGTGTCGGGGTTGTTGGCGCGCAGGTAGGCAAGGATACTGCCTTTATACTTGGCGGAAGCCGCGGCTAAGCTCATAGACGGTATGAACTGGACAGCTCCTGCATTGGGGCTGGTGGCTAAGATACGGTATGGTGAGAGCTTAAGGTCAAGGTTCTCTTTCCGTAGGAGACGATCCATCAAAGAAATTATTTGGATTACAAGCTGGTCTTGCCGGAGATCATCACCTGTCTTGAAAATAATTGGGTATTTCTTGCCATCCGAAGTCTTGAAGTGGACGAGTAAGGGGTAAAGTGAAGATTTAAAAACAAGGGATTCCTCTGGGTAGCAGCCAACGATAGAAACGCTTGGATCCAAAGGAAGCGGTAGGGGAGGATCAAAGGTCGTCAAGTCATTTTTGGGATCTGCAAGGTACTTTTTCAGTCGCTGTAGCTTTCGAGGTCGGTCTTCTCTCGAAAAGCGTATCTCTTTCGATATCTTCGATAACACCGTAATCAACTCTCCTTGCCGAAGGAGGGTCTTTCGTCGCCCTGCTCCTTCCGGCAGTTTCATGAGCTCCGTCATGAAGTCGAACTCAACCTTTGCAAATAGCTTTCGATGCTCCTTAACCTGATCCGGACTCCTGTCATCACACTCCACCATCAAGTACCAATGCAGGAAATTGCCCAACATCAGGTTTTTCGTTGCTCGTGAGATGAGGAACCTTCCCAATGAAGAATCTTGGGTACTGCCATTGTGCGGCTCTGGGGATATCTTCTCGAATTTCAAGGCTTGGACCAGCTGAAGAAGATACAAAAGCAGCTCGTCATCGTCTGACTCTCGTAGGCGATCAACGGCATAGGCTCTGACGGCTGTATTATCAAAAGTAGGCCCCAGAAGCTCCAAGGCATCATCGACGTCTACCTCGGTCCACTTTGGTAGAAGCTGGACAGCTTGACGAGCCTCACTTTGGTCATGCCATGCAACGGATTTGACAAACTTGGTCAATGCCCGCTTGTCGCGCGTGAGATGATGTCTGAACTTCCAGACCAAATCTTTTTCTTCTGCGTTAAGCTCTTGAGTAGGGCCGTAAGAGACGATAGTGTTCAACTCATCTCGGATCTTCGCATTGGGTTTGAGGTCTCGATCCAAGACACCAGTTCGATGACTTCTCACAAGTCTTCTGTGCTTACTCTCGGCTGGGTTGTCCTTGGCACCAACTTCTGGGTCATAAATTCGGATCAGTGGAGGGCCATTCTCATAATCGTCGCTCACTCCGTTCCCTGTCCCATTAATACCCGGACCAAGCTGTACTTCGGGGGGCGGTTTCAGATTGACATTGCCGGTCGGCGGCACGTAGCTGGCTTGAGATGAGATTGGAGGAGGAGCGTACTCATGATCAGTATACACGATAGGGAAATCAAACCTTGGAAAGCCAATCAACAGCGTATATCTTTCCTCTTCCTTTTCATCTTCGTTGGAATCTGCGTCATTGTCCTCGACCTCGGGTCCAGAAGTCGACATTGTTCTCCTTGCTTTCGATGATACCTTTGCTGAGGTTTCTACTAGCTGCCTTTGCTTCTCTACGGCTTTGAAGACGAGTTTGTCTAGCCAGTCGACACGTGGAATTTCTCCCATCTCGTGCTTTTTGAAGAGCCTTTCGAGTCTCTCAAGCTCCTCCTCTTCAGATGAGGTAACGTGGCCATTGCTGAAACCAAGCCCGCCCCTGTTCCTCTGCGCTGGTGGGACGGCAGGGGTAGTTGTTGACGAAAAGCCGTCTGCTGCCTTGTGCCGATAGAGTCTACACTTCTGCCGACCTTTCTGCAAAGTACTATCTTTGTCAAACAGCGATATAGTAGTGCCTCCAAAGGGGATCGCATGACCACGGGCTCCCTGCCCACCAGTAGGCGACAGATCCCACACTGTGATGGCCAACTGCGAGCTTAGGGGTAAAGTGGAAATTGCAATTGGAAGCTCAAGCCATTCATTCCAAGTGCGACCAATTTTGAAAGACCGATAAGCAGTCTGCACAGGCACGGTCAAGGGTTTGGAATCTGCCCATAGTTGAGCAGTAACATATAAGTCAGAGTTGGGGCTGCAAGAATTCAGCACTCTGATCGAAGCACAATAATTTTACGGCGATACCTTGTATTTGATCCAACATGACGCAGATCAGGCCTCTGCAGCAACGTTGAGAAAGGCGGTGGATTATATTGTCCTTCTAAGCTTCCTCTGAAGTTTGAGGTCAGCAAAGAAGGTTAAGCAGATGTCAAACAGGAACCAACATTCTCACATTGACGGAAAAGTCGAGGGCTCTAGAGTTTGCGAAAGAATACTCCTCCATAAAGACAATTAACAATCAAATTAGATCTTTTTGCTGATGGAGGTTTGATGCCTCGAGATGTTTCTCTGACTCTGATATGCCTAGCCGGGCTAGCTTGGTAGGAATTGACTAGCATAGGTCGACATACCAAGGCGAGCACCGTGCGCCGCTTAACTTAAATCACTTCATCCTCCAATTTCGTTTGTTACTGCAGGAGCCGTGTATCAGTTTGCTCTCTGGTGATTGATCTTCGAAATCGTCGTGAACTTACATCATGATTTGAGAAAGCAGGACTTTAAGAATTGGACGGCTAACCAGACGCTGTGACCGCGTTGCGCAGTCCGGGTTCTATACTCATAGTGACCCACGTCAGTCCCAACATTCAAACTACAATGGCGCGCCGCGCAAAGCTCTCTACTGGAAGGGACGAGGATGTGGAGGTCCAAGCAAATGCCGAACCTACGCTACAAAGGCACGAACGCGTGAGTTTGAACTCACTGTCGCCTTCGCCGGCAGCTTCTTTCTCGTCCGACAAAGAAAACCGACAAGTCCAGGCTGATGAGGCTCGACACAATAATGGCAAAGCAAAGAATATGGCGCCTCCTCAAATGCCCACACCAAGCTCAGCGAATGATAACACGTCGCGGTCCAGCAAAAAACGCAAACTCGGAGAACGCAATGCACCCAACGCGAGTCAAACGGTGCACGAAAGAGAGCTGGCTGAGGTGGGAGACCGACGGTTTTACGACCCAGATCAAAGCATGGACGAGAGGCGCGCGGTGCGTAAGGATTTTAGGGACCTATCCAGAGAGTTGACAGGTACGCGTTATATGACTAGCGATCAAGAGAGGAGTCACTGACTCTTTGCCCAGATTCACGCGCCGAGTACCTTGCACCTGGCTCCGATGGTCTCCTCAGAACTCTTCATAGGGCAAACGATCTTTTCGGATCAGTCAAGCAAACATCAGACGCCACCTTGGATTCGCGACTGCTCGTGTCAACCGCGGACCTTTCAGCCAAGAGGACAACGCAACTCAATCTTGGCGACGCAACCACCGGGATCGACGTTGATGACTTTGTGGGGAAGTGTATCACCTACATGCGGCGTGGTCCAAGTGATACGGGTGAAGGTTCGACTGTAAGAGGAAGACGAGGACAAGACGATAGCGATGACGACGCGGATGCTAGAGAGGGGTACGACGAAGGAGATGCATTCAACTGGGAGTGGCTGGGTCGTCGAGCTTGTTTTCCCAACAACGTCCGCCCGCCCGTACCTGGGTTCTTACTCGGCCCGCTGTCTGTTCAAAAAAGAGCGCGTAAAGCCACACAACGCCGCGAGCGCTTTCAAAAACGAGATCCCAAAGACGCTGTACGCCCGGAGGAGCTGAAGGCTCAAGATCTACAACAAGCCGAAAACTCAAATCTCACCACGTTGTGCAAGAACATCCGAGAGCTCTTGGTCCACACAATGGTGACTGGACAAGCAAAAGTAGAGGAGGAGTTTATGAAGATGACGAGCGAGGATATTTCGGATGAAGAGATCAGGGCAGTGATGCTCAAACATGGAATCGCCGATGACGAGGGTGTTCCTCTGTTTCACTTCGTTGTGAACCCGAAATCTTTTGGTCAAACAGTGGAGAATTTGTTCTACGTGAGCTTTCTGATCAAAGATGGTACGGCTGGGTTTGGCAACGATTCTAATATGCTACCGACTCTCCGTAAGTATACTATGGTCCTCTCTCCCCCTCTCCTTTAAACTAACGCAATGTTTGAAGACGCGACTGTCGCACGTTCACCTCAGCAAATTCAAGACGAGAATATCTCGAAACATCAAGCTGTTTTCCATCTGGATTACGAAACGTGGGAAGACATCATCGAAGCTTTCGATATCAAAGAGAGCATCATTCCTCATCGTCAGTCAGATGAGGTTGCCCAAGTCAGTGCTTCCGGCTGGTATGGATAAATTGCGTAGCTCGGTCACAAACATCTGTCGTAATCCAGAAGATTCGCGACTGTACATACTCAAGGATCTGAACGTCTGTATCCACACCCAGGGAGGTCACCTTTGCCATTTGCTCATGACCTGGGCCTACGGCGCTGCTTTGGCGGGCTCTGTTGCAGGTCTCATCCAGAGCTTGCTTTTAAATTCTAGATTTGCAGATATCCAATACAGTCAATAGTTCGAAGCCTCATTAAGGACCAGAAACGATGAATGCCATGTCTCGCTCCTAGCATCAAAAGCTGACTAAGTACATTAGAACCCATGGAATCTCAGCCTTTTGGAGGAATGGAATGATGATTCTAGGCCAGGAACATGAAAGATCGTGGGTAAGAAATGAAACGTCAGCTACCGGCGTACTTTCTCTCGTACCAGTACTTGACAAGGTAGGGGTAGGGCGCGAAGATTGGGAAAGGGGGGAATAAACCCTTGTATAAGGCTTTTATAAAGATTGTCGATCGTATCCATCACCAACGGATACAAGGTATACTATTATCCAGAGTCAATTTGAAGCAGTGACCTGGGATGAAGGGGAGTGTTGAGGGTCAAATTCTTTATCGCACTCTCTTTCCAGCATGCCTTTATTAGCTCTGCTTCCTCACAATGGTTTAGTGCAAGTAAGGGTGTCGATCTCTCTGCTGGAAAATGGCGGAGCGAGTATCTCTCTCAATGTCATCACGTCATAATCTTCCGGGTTTCAGTCCCTACAGTATTTCTTGAAGCGATTTTGAACCCGGATGAAAGGCATGGTATTGTTCTACGTTCTGCTCCATCAGGCCAGGTTCTGTGACGATGCATTCATTTTTAGAAAGAAGACTATCTCTTCGCTGCTGTAATGTTGCTCGACCGTACTGTACCTTCTGGTACAGTGGAGTAGGAAGTCGCGGATGTCAACATGAGAAGAGACGTGCGGTGCTCGATGATAGTTGTTTTTCAAGGAGCGGGAAATTGTGGGCATGGGCCATTTCGGTAGCTGTCCGGACGAACTAATGGGAAGCCTGGAAGGTGTAAGACCAGTGCCTTCGATGGGACAGCATGCTGAAAGCCAGTGAAGACGTATTTTCAGCAGTCGAGTCTTACAGAGCGTCTTTATGAGCGGGTAGGGGCCATTTGCCTATGATCTGACGGCCTTGATCGGTCGGCATTGAAGACAGAATTGGAATGAGGGACGAAAAAATCTTGTCCCTGATAAAGACGATTTCATGAATACAGGCAAAGCGGAGAGATGTCTCTTACACACTCATAGAAATAACCACAGACTGATGAACGAATTGATGACCATGCTAGGCGCCTGAAAATATGGCCGAAATTTGTATGAGCTGCGGCTGCAGCCCAGAAGCAATGTAAGAAGAAGCATTTCATGCAATTGATCAGCGCTAAGTAGGCCAAAGTCGAGGGGAAAGACCACTCATGACTCATGAGCGGAGGAACCAGATAGACCGCAACGAGGCAAGCAAAAGCATATTCAGATCCCAACCAGACGATGTTCACTGGTATCTGGCCAGTCATTCACTTTCGTCGCGATGGTCTCAACTTTTGTATCTAGCATTAATCACATCCTAAAAGACCTCAAGACAGGGAATAATATCCTGTCAAATACCGTAACGTTCCCCCAGCCATTCCTTGTGTACCTCTTATATACATCAAGTCTCTTTGTCAAACCTAGAAAGCTCTGGCGAAAATCGCTACCGTTGATGACGACTCAATGCCGCACTCACCTGCTGGTGCTGTAGAAAGCATCAAAGTCAGCATGTCTTCTTCGAGACCAAAATCATGAGTCACGAAACTATTTCGGGAAATAGGGACTCTCTTGCTTCCCAAACATGCTTTGTGACCCGATTGATGTATTGATCAAGAGTACATGGCCTTGATGCGTACGTACCTGGGCCATTGACGCACAGAGCGCAGTTGTTATCCGGCGTTGCTCCAGTTCCTAAACCTGCAATAGCTGTCAAAGATTATCGGAGTCAGCGTCGCCATTTCAAGAAGGATGCCAAGCCTTGAAGCGTGTCGACAGGATGCACACTCCCAAAACAGGTTTTGAGACCCAGTATCTGGTCCAGACGAGGGTTTTGGTCTCGGAAATACGTACTAACAAGATTCAACGTATCGCCGCAGTAGCAATCCACGCTCGTCGTGCCCACATTCACAGTTCCATAGAAGTTGAAATTTTGGCTATTGCAAACAACGGAGCATTGCGCATTCCCACTCGCGGTATACGTCTGTATGAAATTGGCTAGCACTTTGCCGGTGCTGGTAGACGAGGCGCCTGTTTGCAAGAAACAGCCCACTGGTGGAGATTGATTAGCAAAAAGCTCAATAGCATGATACGTGTCTCATTTCCTCATCGATTTGGCGGATCAGCCCAAAACAATATGTCGCTAATGATCAGAATGCTCCAAGAAAAGCGTCAGACAACGCAAGAACCCCGTTGTTGATGCCGCTCTTGTCAAAATCTTGAGGACTTTTATTGTTTCGGTGGCCAATGTTTCCAGCACCTTGCCTTTCTGGCGAAAGCGTGTGATAGGGTGCATGCCCGCGCTTCTGGGATTCTGGAAGGACTTACAGTACGCATATGCAATGCCGGGTGCACCTGAAGGGCCTGTCAATCCTTGGGCTCCACTAGGCCCTACACTACCCTGTATTCCCTGGGCTCCGCTTGGGCCAGTACTTCCCCGAGGTCCGCTAGGGCCTAAATTTCCTTGAACTCCTTGCGGACCAGTAGGCCCGACACTTCCCTGGATTCCCTGAGCCCCAGCCGGTCCAATACTGCCCTGGATTCCCTGGAGTCCAGTCGGTCCAGCGCTGCCCTGAATTCCTTGGGGTCCAGTCGGCCCAGCGCTGCCTTGAACCCCCTGGGATCCAATCGGTCCAGTGCTGCCTTGAAGTCCCTGGGGTCCAGTCGGTCCAGCGCTGCCTTGGATTCCCTGGGTTCCCTGAGCTCCAGTCGGCCCTACACTTCCCTGAGCTCCTTGAGGTCCCGTGGGCCCAAGGCTGCCTTGAGTTCCCTGTATTCCCTGAGCTCCTTGTGGTCCTGTTGGCCCTGCGCTGCCTTGAACTCCCTGAGCTCCAGTCGGCCCTACACTCCCTTGAATTCCCTGAATTCCTTGAGCTCCTTGAGGTCCCGTCGGCCCAACGCTGCCTTGAGTTCCCTGTATTCCCTGAGCTCCTTGTGGTCCTGTTGGGCCAACGCTGCCTTGAACTCCCTGAGCTCCAGTCGGCCCTACACTCCCTTGAATTCCCTGAATTCCCTGAGCTCCTTGAGGTCCTGTTGGGCCAACGCTGCCTTGAACTCCCTGAACTCCCATCGATCCTACACTTCCTTGGATTCCTTGAACTCCCTGAGCTCCTTGAGGTCCTGTCGCCCCAGTGCCACCTTGAATCCCCTGTGCACCACTAGGTCCAGGTGGCCCAACGCTTCCTTGAATTCCCTGGGCGCCACTAGCTCCCACGCTGCCTTGTGGACCACTTGGCCTAAGCGGTTACAGATCAGCAGAACATTCCGAATCAATGGGAAGCGTTCGTTGTTACCCTAATGGGCCTGGGCCACCGAGCACAGCGGTGACCGCACTTCCAGTTGAAGGAGCAACGCAAGAGGTAACTATGTATTGATCAGTTGAGAGGCGAGGAGCCATCGGTGTGGACAAGGATCAGGCACATACGTTCTGCGACGGTGAGATCTATGAAAACGCAGGATAGAGGCTGTGCTCCTTGCTGAAAGACTGCAACGATTACGCCAGAGGGGAGCACGCAGAAAAGGGCATTTCCATTAAAGAACTTGGAGCTCGTCCATAGCAGAGTACCAGTATTACTCAAAGAAAACGTGGTGGTAATGTCTCCAGGCGTTGAACTCGGTGCGAAATAGTCATATGTATCGCCTGTGGTCGCGGAGAATTGTGCTACAGTTCCGTTGGAATATGTCACCCAAAGCTGGTTGTTGGCCAACGTGAGTGTGCTTGCTTGTGTGCAGGAAGAAGTTGCTCTGCCCGCGTAGCTCACGAAAGCCCCGGCTTGTCGACGGCGCTTTGGAGACAATTCAGAGGCGACGATCATTAGTGTAAAGCTACCCGCACTATATCGAGATGTAGCGTGGGAATTTTGACTGCGTCAAACACTTTAGAAGGTAACTTAGAGTTCACTGACAAGGATAACTGACCCGTTCATAGTCTCGATAGCAGTACTTCTATCAAAATACGTTGTAAGAAAATCGAGATTGGTTGGCGCATTGTCAACGGTAATGGTAAGATCAGTATTGACTTGAAACGTAGTGTCGCGAGTGACACTGGTTATTATATGTATTGTGTGCTTCACAACCACAACCGAATGAACAAGCATTGCTCCTGAGCGATAGATGCAGGCGTCTTGCGCTGCAGAAATCCACGCAGCGCTGTTGAGGAGTAAAAGGGCATAGCAGAAGAGAGGTTGAAACATCAAACAACCAAACATGGCGTACGATGTCTGAAAGATTTTCACGCGTTGAACGATGATCTAAAGAGGGTGTCGCGTCAGAGAGTGAAAAAACTTGGTGCTGGCTGAATGATTACTAGGTATACTGAAAACAAAGTCACGTGGTTGTTTGGTGTTCCTGAGACACTGCCGCAGGAATGTGGAATGCATTTCCCGTTCCCAGGCAAGCACGCACATTACCTCCGTCCTGCATTCGTCTATATCAGACGGCGGCCCTTCCAGTATGAAGCGACCTTTCACCTCTCATCGTGAAAAATGTCACTACCGAGACTACTGCAGTGACCAGCCAAAGAAGCATGTTAACCAAGTCAACCCACACAGCGTTCTTCATCCTCTTGACACCTCCATTCACAGGCTTTGCATGAATGTAGATTTTTCCAAAGACCCCAAAGACAGCCACCCATAGTATACTGTTTGTAGATTGATCAGTATCAACTACCCCCATTACGACTCCCTTCCGCCTAGGCCACACTCACAATAGAACCAGATCCCAGCCGAACGCCCACCAGCTCTTCACCTTGGGCAACACGTACACCAAGCATGTGACGGCCGAGAGTACGCCTACGACTTCTGCGTACGACCATTTAGAGTAGTCACCAGTGTGGTTTTTGCGAGCGTCGCTGAGTTCGGTGCCGTAGAGACCAAGGACTGCGACGGCAAAAATGAATTGCAGAAAGCGCAGGGTCAGGTTGGCGATGACCAGTGGCAGGGGCTGGCTGCTGGAGACAGTGGAGGATGCTTTCTTGTTGAACCGAGAGAATGCCATCACGAGGGAGTATTGGTGTGCAATGCAAAGATGTCTGTTTGTTTTTTCTTCTTCGACTGGAATGACTGGGCGACGCAGTGTCTGGCTCTGAGGGCCAACATTCACCGAAATGGCAAAAGCAGCTATCAGGGTAGATTACTCACCACGCTTCTCACCAATTAAATGTTGGAGGCCGCCGTGGTCATGAGGCTCACTCACTATAATTAACGGCCATCACGCGTATCTACTCGTGTGGCCGAGAAGTCTATCATCTTGGCAGACTAGCCTAGATAGGTTAGCACAGTAGATCATAGGCATAATTCAGTGTCAAACTGCGGAGAAACGAGGTAGTCTGATTGGTGGGTACTCCCGCGCCGGACTGCCAAGATGATAGACTTCTCGGCCACACGAGTAAAGGATCGAGGTTGCGCACGGGATTTGATTGGTTCGCTTAATACCGCAGGTTATGATAGAGCCTCAGATTTCTCCCTCAATAGAGTGCTACACGCTTACATCGTATCTCGGTAATTCATGTATTCACGTACTCTACGTAGTATGTAAAAAAAGTCTAGCATCCACTTCCTTTCATTTTTGACATCAAGAACATTCTTCGCTCTTCTCACCGCTGCCATGATAGGCTTTACCTAGAGCCTCGATTATGTCTCTTCATCATCTTCTCCGTCGTCCTGTCATTTGCGTCGTCTCTCCACATCACAGCAATTCTCCCGGGAGAATAAATTACACTTCTCTCACACCTTACAAGTCTTCAACGGCGAGTCAGTCCCTGACTTCCATTTTGTATGTATTGTTTCAGAGTAAACGCTTTCCTATTCCCCATCACTGTTCGAGTTGCAAGACATTTTCTGCAAGCAAAAGGCTCCTGATACTCCTTCGAGCTATCGAGCTGCTCAGCATTATTGTCTCTGAGAAAGAATCCTGACTCCAGAAATTTTGTAGGATAGCCAATCGTGGTGAAATAGCTCTGTTAGTCAGTTCCATCTTCCACTGCAACATATAGACTGAGAACGCCAAGACGTGTCAACAAGACAGCTTCCCAGTATGGCATCACGACCACGACAGTCTATACAGAACCAGACGCTAGATCGCAACACGCTCTGAGCTCTCCTAAGGCCGTCAACCTGGGACATTCCTCAGCTTACCTGGATGGTGACAAAATCATTGAAGCTGCCAAAGTGCACGGGTGCACAGGCATCCATCCTGGGTACGGTTTTGTATGTTTAGTGACAGAGTTCTTACGCGTGCACCATGCTGAGCTTTTTTGCAGCTGAGTGAGAATTCAATGTTTGCTAGAAAATGTACAGAAGCGGGACTTGTCTTCATAGGGCCGCCATGGGAAGCAATGGAGGCTATGGGCAACAAAAGGTGCGTCAGCGGACTGTTCATGATAAGGCAGTATAGCTGAGTATTTAACAGCCGGTCGAAAGAGATTATGATCGAAGCCGGGGTACCGTGCATTCCAGGCTATCATGGCAGCAACCAAGAACCAGCTTTTCTCAGGTCCGAAGCCTCCAAAATTGGCTTCCCGGTGCTCATAAAAGCCGTGAAAGGCGGTGGAGGAAAGGGCATGCGGATAGCAATGACGGCAGGTGTGTTTGACGACCAATTGAAAAGCGCGAAATCAGAAGCTATGAATTCATTTGGCGACAATGTCATGCTCGTCGAGAAATACATTACGACCCCTCGACATATCGAAGTTCAGATATTCGCAGACAAACATGGTAAGTACTTATGCCTTTTGGCGCCTTTCCTTCTTCTTCTTCTTCTTCTTCTTCTTCTTCTTCTTCTTCTTCATCTTCATTCTTCTTCACTCTGCGACTGCAAGACAAATCCTGAAGGGAAAAGGGCTCTTTGACACCACTTGACCTATCCCATTGCTCGGGGTTTGGTCTCTGAGAAGGATTACTGAATCTACAATGTTTATAGGCAGTTGTGTCTCCCTGGGGGAACGGGACTGCAGCATCCAAAGGCGACATCAAAAGATATTGGAAGAATCGCCAGCGCCCAATCTAGACGAATCTGTTCGTCAAGATCTATGGAAGAAGGCTCGCACTGCAGCCTTGGCTGTTGGCTATGAGGGCGCAGGTACTGTAGAGTTCATTTTTGACAATGAGTGTGGCGAATTCTTTTTCATGGAAATGAACACCCGACTACAAGTGGAGCATCCCGTTACCGAAATGGTCACTGGGGAAGACCTCGTACACTGGCAGCTTATTGTGGCGGAAGGAGGTAAGCTTCCTCTGAGTCAGAAAGAGATCGAAGCAAAGATTTCGGAAAGAGGTTGGGCAATCGAAGCGAGAATCTATGCAGAAAATCCTGAAATGTTTGTGATTAAAAATAGAGTAGAATTGCAAATCGTGCTAACGTCGGTGTAGGGGTTTCACACCTGACTCGGGACGCCTCATACATATGCGAACACCCTCTATCACTGAGACAGTAAGGGTCGATGCCGGCTACATCATGGGGGACGAGGTGTCTTCGCACTACGATCCCATGATAGCGAAGCTGATCGTCAGGGGTCCAAACCGGACAATCGCCATACAAAAGTTGCATTCTGCTTTGGAACAATACGAGATTGCGGGACTGGTAACGAACGTCGAGTTTTTGAAGGCGGTCTGTAAACATCCAAGCTTTGTGGCAGCCGAAGTAGAGACGGGCTTCATCAGCAAACACAAGGACAAGCTGTTCGCAGAGGGGCCAACCGCTCCTGAGGTCTATGCTCAAGCCGCTCTGGGCTTGCTATTCCTGGAAGCAGCAACTTCGCAAGAAAGGGGTGCTGCCATACTTGGTATACCTCAGTCTGGATTTGCAGCCATGGCACAACGAAGATTCTGGGGGTTTCTCCCGAACAGAACGCTCGTTTCCAACGAAACGGCCGAACAAAGCGTAGGAATAGATGTTTTGGAGACCGGATTCTTTGACATTACCGTTAGTGGAACACCGACTACCTACCGCTCCGTCGCCAGCAGCTGGGAACCACAGACCCGCAAAGTCACGTCTTTCTTTCCCCATACCAGGCTCGAAACGAGAGTGATAGATGACGACCAAGGTAATCTCACGCTCTACCAACAAGGCCAGCAATTTCGCCTACGGTGTGCCACACCAAAGTGGGTTGAACGAGCCTTGGGCATCAAAGATACAGCTCACAGTGTCCTGGCGCCAATGCCGTGCAAGATCCTGAGGGTAGAGGCCAAGGCGGGCGATCATGTCAAAAAGGATCAGGTATTAGTGGTTATTGAAAGCATGAAAATGGAGACCGTGATCAGAAGCCCTCAAGACGGCGTCATCTCTAGGATTGTACATCAGCAAGGGGTAGGTGCTTTCCAATATGGAAACGGTGTCGCTAATGTGTACGTAGGATCTATGTAAAGCAGGTAACGCTTTAGTCGAGTTTGAAGAGCTTGTAGAGCCTAAGTAGTAGCATGGAAGGTGTTGGATATAGCATTTTTCATGCACTCCGATAGATTGATGATGTCGAGCATTATGGTAGAATGCCCGGTGAGGCACATCGAGAATCGCGGTACCCATCATCCATCCACTCCCCTCTACCACCCCTCACCCTACATTCAAGGGATTCCGTGCCGATGCAGCGTCTGGTATCAACTAATCTGGGCCCTGGTCCCCATTCATTCCTGTTTCCTTACCTCCCCTCATCATGCTCATACAGTGGTCTCATAGCCGAGAAGCCTCTTGTGGACAGATTCTGACGACGCCGGGTAATCACATAACTTCCTCCTCTTCCATCTTCCCGCACCACCCTTTCTTGGAGGCTCCGTACTCAAACAATCTCTGCTACAAGCGGATTTAGCATTTGCTATGGCTACCGTCGCTTCTCTACCTGCTCTCATCGTACTCTTTATTGAAAGCCCTCCCAATAACAATCCTCCTTATCTCACTCGTTCCCGCCCCGATCTCGTATAATTTTGCGTCCCTCAGCAGCCTTCCAGCCGGCACTTCATTCACATAGCCCATGCCTCCCATCAATTGGATGGCATCAAGCGCGCACTCCGTCGCCCTCTCCGCGGCATACAAGATAGCACCAGCGCAATCCTTGGTATTTGGAGTATTGTTGGGAGTAGAATGAGCGGCATCAAGAGCATTGGCGACGGAATACGTGTAGGAGGATGAGGCGCGATATTTAGTGTACATGTCTGCAAGCTTTGCTTGAATGAGTTGGTTGTGCGCAATTGGTGTGGAAAACTGAATGCGGCTGTGAGTGTAGGGGAGGACGAGGGCCAAGGCGGACGACATCAAGCTGCATTTGACAAGACATTAGGACGATATGTCCAAATGAAGTGGGAACAGAAGGGCTTTTTACCCTAGCGGTCCGGCGCTGAGAACCAGTCTCTCGATATCCAACCCTTCCATCAAGACTCTAACGCCATGATTCACTTGACCCAGCATGTTCTCTTGAGGGACGAATACGTCCTCGAATACTAACTCGCCGGTATTGGACCCTCGCATACCAAGTTTGTCAAGTTTGCGAGCGCAGGAAAAGCCTTGGGCTGTGCTGTCGAGGATGAAGGCAGTAATGCCTTTGGAGCCTTTGTCGGGCTCTGTCTTTGCATAAACGACTATGTGGTCGGCATCTGGTCCCTGAACGACGTTTTCAGCTTCTGTGTCTGGATAGAGAATTGAATTTGCAAGGGTGCAAGCCCACATTTGTGATCCACATTTTGGAGCCGTTGAGCACCCACCCTCCATTCACCGCTCTCGCTGTTGTTTTCATACTGATCACATCAGAGCCGGCGGAGTTTTCTGACATTGCCAACGCGCCAACCTTCTGCCCCGATATCAAACCGGGAAGAAACCTCTGTTTCTGGTCATTGTTACCGTTCAGAGAGAGCTGATTGATGCAAAGCTGGGAATGTGCAGCGTAGGAAAGCCCAATGCTGCCTACTACTATGAGCATTTCTATCACAACCCTATGGGGCGGATGCCTGACCTGAAGCCTTACTGATCTCTTCCATGACGATGCAATGCGCCTGATAGCCCATCGCTAGCCCCCCGTAATCCTCATCCGCCGTGATACCCAGAAAGCTTCTTGGCAATTAGCTCCGGTGCAATTTCAGTGACCTGGACGCATCATACCCTGCTTCCCCGAACTTCCTCCATATGTCTGAAGGAAAATCATTATCGCGGTCTGTCCGTGCAGCAACCTTTTCCGGTATTTCCCGTCCTAAACATTCCTTCAGAGGCCATGTTTTGCAACGAAGAGCGTCATGGCTCACGAGTGAATTCTTGCACACGCTCTCTTAATTCAGCGAGGTCGTCAACGGTAGGAGGTACGAAACCTCTAGGGTGTTTGGTGGACGCTGGACGCTGGACCGTTACGTGGATTGGCCTTGGTCTTGGGCTGGAACGACCGACCTGACGAATGGTGCTCGTGATTGTTCGGGCTATATAAGGAGTAGACATTGTCATGATCATTAGTATTAGCTCCGTTCATCCAAAATATTCTTGGAGGAATCATGATATCGTGGGGCTGTTCAAGATCGAGGTTCCTCGGCTTCATCATGGGCTCGGCTGGCGCCGGCATTTTGCGGACAAGAACGGCGCTTCAATCTGTCACAGCAGAGGGGTAAGGATTGCTCTGATCTATGTCAACAACATGAATATAAGTTTACGGGGTATCTATCTAAACGCCCGTCTAGCCAAGAACGCCTATATCATCTATGGAAGGCAAACAAAAGGAGTCTCCCTCCCTCTCAGCCACAGCGTCGCCGAAATCTCGTGAGCGTATTTACCTTCTTTGGGTCTGTCTTCTCGACGTTTCACTGAAGCGACCTAGATTCTCTTTTTTGCAGCTTAGGACTATGCCTTTAAATCTCATCCCATGTCTTTGACACATGTCGGCGCGCCCGTTAGATATCAAAGGTCCAGCATTTCTTCAATCTGCAGATCAGCTTTGATATTTCGTCACTCCACGAAATGTTACGGTCCTTGTGTTGCTTTTGTGGTCTGCTGGTGGTTATGAATCAACCGAACCTCTCCTGATTCGAAATTCACACTGCTTGCATGTCCATAGACTCTTTTTGTCCCGCCTCGCGGGCGTGTTTTGACTTAGGACCGAAATCGGCATCATGCCGATGAGACAGGAAGAGGATAGCAGTGCTATTTCATGTCAGTCAGGACACATATGGACCTTTGAAGCGACCCCAAAGGGCAGTACCTTGCTACAATCGCGACGAAGTCCGGCCATATGAGGCCCGCGGAAGCAACGGCTTTAGAGTTATGCTTGTACATTGTCGACGTTGTCAGTCCGTAAACCCTGAAACAGTTCATCAAGTGCTGACCTAAAATTGGCTTGAGATATTGCTGCAGAAGCCGTTAGCCTTCTACTGCGTCGACTCCGGTGATGTACGCGTTCTTGGTGGCAACAATGACCTGCATGGGGTCAGCCTGAACAGTTTGAAGCCAATCGAGAAGTGATTTGGTGTGCATACAGTCAGAGCCAGAACATCACTCAATGTCAAGATGCACATGATCTTAGCACAGATCTTCCAAGCTAGATGTACAGATCTGCTTTCGTGCCTCTCGGGCCAGAAAAGGTCGAAGAAGAAGGCCCCACTATAATCGATACTCTTGACCTCTTGAGTAATATGGAGAGCTTCTTTGTAGCGAGAGTATGACATCAATGCTGTCTTCCCTTCTGCTTCCGACAGCATAACAAAATCTATGCGTGGGTAACGGGGTTGCCAATCTGGGTTTTCATCCTTTTGTCGTTACAGGAGTTCTCCCGCGGAGGAAAAAAGAAGCCACGACCACTCATATTTTATGTGGCATGGATGCATATTGAAACTCGCCTTTTGCACTGTTCAGTAATTCGGTCGTTCATAAGGTATTGTTCGCCCATTAGTTAATGATATATAGATGCAAATCGAGGTAAGGTACTTAGGCACATCAAATAAGCTTCTTTCTTGCTGCCAGTTGGCAGTCTAGTGTAAAGGACTCCCAAGGCGAGCAAAGGGGCAATAAAACTTCGTAATGCGAACATACCAAGTCTACAGCTTGAAAGCTTTCACTGCAAGGGCATTCTGTCGTCTCTCCCTCAACAACATGGTCTTAGCATTCATTAATTAAGAGGTCAAGGAAGAAAACAAAAGCCCTCGTTGCCACGCAAAGGTCTCTTTGCATGACCAACATAAATCGCCGGCCTCGGCCTGCATTCATGCTTCTCCTTGATACTGCCAAGCCTGTGTTCTAGTTGCGCTTCCTTTGATCAATAATAATGTGCTCTTCGTGCAAACTTCTATTCACTGCTACATCCTGCCTTCAAGGCAATCTCGTTGCATCCTTCTACTCTCGAGGCCACTAGCTCGACTTGCGCAGCGCCAAGCTTCCTCACGCGATCCGTGCGAGTTATTTACTCTATAGAGCAGTAACACATGCTGTCCAAAACGCTCGACGGATGAATGCAAGGGAAGCCCATCAAGTGGGCGCCCTTTGCCACTTCGGCAGAAGTGCATGAGGAGATGGATATGGTTACGCATGGTTAATCACCGCACACCTGCCTTATTTTTGGAAAGAATGGTGAACGGTAGATAGCGGATGGGCCTTAAATGTGCGGGAACAAATAACAAGTGAACTGGATTCCTCAACTCAGGGTTTTCCTTATTGCCTACCAGCTGCGATATACCTATCAAAATTCCCTTTTTCCCCCTGCAACTCTCCTGCAGTAACCAGAGTTCCACCGTCATCAAAGTGTACTTTTACTCCGAATCACCTTTCACTTCTTCTAGGTCATCCTCTTTCGGGACAGCTGATCCCTTTGCGGCCTTTGCCGATGCAGCGGGTCCACCCGACTTGGCTGTTGCTTCGACTCCCCTAGCCTCATCGGCGCTTTCGCCCTCCCCGTCTTCATCCTCGTCACCTTCCACGGGTACAGCTTCTTCATCGGAAGCTTCCTCAGGCTCTTCTTCTTCCTCTTCCTCCTCATCGCTCACTACTTCAGGGGCGTCCTTGTTGGAGGCGGGAGCTGTCTTGCGCTTCTTGGCAGCTGGGGGGGCTGTGAGGTATCCGTCAACTTGAATCCTGCCGGAGACACGAGCCATTGAGAGTATCTGTACCTTCAGCAGCTCCCTCGTCTTCTTCCTCCTCAGAAGAGACTTCGTCCTCGCCAACGTCGGACGCATCAGATGCCTCATACCTGTGCGCCGAATGTCAGCAAGAACCCTGTCTTTAAAGCGCAAAGATCTGAGTGGATGAGCGCTTTCAGGCTGGGTGTATGAGACAAAAAGTGTCTGCAGTAGAGAGGAGAGTGGCCCATTGACTCTTGTTTGGGGATGGAAGGGCAGTCGGAGAGCGAATGACGTCAAGAAGGCTGGTCTTACTCTTCTTCCTCGTCGCTCTCATCGCTCGGGAGTGCTTGGAGTTCCGCCTCTTCTTCCTGCTTTCTCTTTCTCGTCGACATTGCGGGAAATGGGGTGCGTTGTTGGTGGTCAAAAGAATCGATTGATTGATGGAAGGGGACGGGAAAGGTAGGGGATGAAGTGGAAGGGGAAGCTCTGGGAAAGAGCTGGAGCCCCCGGAGAAAGGGTCCCTAATATGACCCTAAAGGCTAAGACCCGAACCAGGCCCTGAGCTAGCTGGGATTAGTGAGAATAGGCGAGCCAATGACGAATTCGCCCTTGCATCGCAGATCAATGCGACCACTTCATACCACTCACTACCTTACCATTGCCAAATTACTCCGATCTATCCATAAGCTTGTCCATGTCTATTACTACTGGCCATGCTTGAGAGGATCATGGCACGATTCAAGATGCATATTGGATTGATTCTCTACTTTCTACTTTAATCTTCTCCCACCCTTTTTACCTTCTTCATGCCTTCACGCCTGTATTTAGGAAGACATTGCGAGGCGTCGCATCCCTCACAAGTCTTCTACCGGATCATTGGAGATGTAATACATCCCGGTCGCAGTATTGTTGGTGGAATTGGTCTGCACGGTCTTGCCCATCTTCAACGCACCATTCTCTACAATTCCACCACCAGGACTTGGATCCCTCTGTAAGGCGTTGGCCCCACTCAGCACTGTGAAGTTCGCCAGGCTGATTTCATCGGGGTTTCGGTTGACAATGGTTGGCATCCCGAAGTAATTTGCCTTCACCGACTCGTGGCTGATTTGAAGCTCAAAGTAGCCGCGATAGTAAAGCTCCGACCATTGCAGCTCGCGGTTGTATTGGACTAGATAACTGCTCGCATTATTGGCTGCGGCTAGGGTAATGTTTTGGCCATAAGGAGATGGCGATGAGACTGCTGTCCCAGCGAATTCAACTCCGATGCTGCCGTTCCCTGTCGTGGGATTGTACGGGTGCTCATCGAGCCAGATGAGGTCGGTGGCCCAATTCGCATGAGAATCGCCAGAGATGACGATGTTGTTGCCAATCTTATTGTCGTACAGAGTCTGAAATGTTCTGTTTCGATTTGCTTGGTAACCATCCTGGCAATCGTCTAGATCAGTATCTCCATTAGGAGCTAGCAGTTGGGTGGCTAGACAGATTGGGCGATACTGCAGCAACCAGGGGATGAAGAAATTGGAGGATATCACGTACCCATGCATCATAATCAAGTGGATCTACATTTCCATATGCAATGGATTCATTGATCCGGGAGAAAACGGTTTGCGATCCAATTACTCTCCAAGTTGCAGCCCTTTGGGCAGAAGACTTGAGCTGGCTGTAGAACCAATTTTCCTGGCGACTGCCCATCATCGAGCGGCCTGCGTCGTCAGAGATCTGGTGGACGTAATGTGTATTCCAGTACAGATCGGTGATGGATCGATCATAGTGTCGAGTATCCAGGATGATAAGGTCAAGCAGTGTGCCGATAGAAAAGCTTCTCCAAATCCGCAAATTGTCGTCCATTTCAACTTGCCGAATAGGCATCCACTCGAAGTAAGCTCGAACAGCGTTCATCTTTCGCTGGTCAACACTAACTCCACCATCCCCGATGAACGAGGCCTCCGTGTTATTCAACTCTGACAAGGGTTGCAGGGTTAGCATAGAATTTACATGAAACAGGCTCGGTCCGCAAGACAATGATAGGTAGCACAATTGAGAGGAAGCCATCCCCGCTTTCGAAACATGTCTTACTATTCATGTCGGGTCCGGTATGAAGGAAACGCTCCGCTCCGATATGTACGTACCTGAAGAGCCATCGCGGTAAGTGTTGTCAGCGACCTCATGATCGTCCCAAACCGGAATCCAGGGGAAAGCTTGATGACTAAGAAGAAGATCAAGGTCGGTCCTGTATGTAGCTATTCGCTTCCGGTAGTCATAAAGCGTGAAGATCGTCCGATCTGGGAGCGGAATACGTCCAATACTCTGTCCCCAGCCGTAGTCACCGTTCTTGTACTCGTATATGTAGTCCCCGAGATGTATCACGTAGTCCACGGAGTCCTTGCGAGCTAAAAGCCTAAGGTATCAATAGACTGATAATACAAAGTCAAAAAAAGGAGAATCCTACCTGGATTGCCAAACGCATTGAAAAAGCCAAAGGGAAAGTTCGAGCATGCTGCGTAAGGGGATCGGAGTCAGCACTCTTCCTTGAGAACAGGATACAGGGTCTGCGATCTAGAGGAAAAGCAAACTGCTCCCAATGCCGGAAGTCTTCCTGCAACTCGGCTTCGCTTTCCTATGAGAAAGCAACTGCTCAGAGGGAGACTCACAGTACACAGCCAGACCGATCTTGGTCACTAGGTCAGTGGGTGCAGGTGTTGTCTTCGTACGTCCAACTGGGCTGGTAACATTGGAATTGCAGACACTGAATTGATAATAATACCGAGTGTACGGGCTGAGATTCTGGGCTTCGATCTGATCCCATTAATCCTAATGTCTCTTGTGGCTAAGCAAGAATGAAACTACCTTAAGGGTATAATCCACATCGGACGTAGTATACGCCAGGCCAGAATCCACAACTTTTGCAAAGGCATTATCGGATGCAACCTTGTAGCTGACACAAACGGGAGCGGTGGATGGAGGAGCAATCTCGCTTTCGCTGTATATCGGAACTGGGTTATACAAGGGTACATAATCCGAGACAGTTGAGTTGTCGTTGACATCATCTTGGATTGGTCCGCATCTTGTCCAAATGATGACCGAGTTGGGGAATGGGTCTCCAGAAGCGACACCATGAGTGAAGTTCAAGGCTCCAGGGTATGGAGAAGAACCATTGTTTCGCTTGTTAACCTGTGTACACAGTCATTGGCATAGGCGTAAGGCGATAAGTTGATAAGTGATGAATCCGTCCACCCATCATACCTTGTGAATTGAGACACCGAGGCCGGGATGATTGTGAGAGGGACTTCGATAGTTAATGTTGGATGCGTAGCTAGCTACCGCCACACCTGCAAAGACAAGGGTGATTAGGAATTGAAGCATGCTTGCAAAAGGAAGGAAGTAGCCTTTTCCCCTACGACTTTATTCCTTCTTTCATACATCTCCATTATTCTTTCCCTGAGCTCCTTCTTATATGTCATTCTTTTTTCTCCATCTTTCCCTTCTTGCCCTTTTCCGCCAAGGCTGTAGGCCCACCTGGTTCCTGTTTCCCCGGCAAGTAATGCGTCTTCCTCGGGGGAAAAAAAGAATCCCACAGCCAACAGACCCTGCCAATGGCAGGCTACAATTCTCCCATGCTCAATGTCAATTCCCTACAACCTTCCTCTTCCGACCGAGCATGATGAGATACAGTCAGACCTGGGCCTCCTCCATATGCACACGTGCATGCGGGTTCTGATTGATTGGGTGCTTGAATCTGCATGCGAAGGATCCTTTTATCCTTTAGCACTCTTGGCATGCAGGTGCGAATCAACGGGACAATCCAGTACCTTCTAGCCGAGAGAACGTGAACGCACGCAGCTCAGGCACCATGCACTATGCGAGGGAAATGCTTGAATTATAAGATTGTCAAGAATTATGATTACAGCTAAAGCAATTAATCCTCTTGCAAGGTCACCTTTCCCATATGTATCCCTAGCGTCTCCACCCCCTACCACCCCCTTTCCCAACATCTCAGTATGCTGGTACCTAGATGATTCTTCCTGCTGCAAGCCAACCTTCATTTATCGGTCCCGCTCTTTCTGCAATAACGTCAAGACCCTTCGATTAGGTTGGGTATCTTCGAATATGTTGCATGCGCTAGGTCCGCGCTATGCTTCTCACACACACAAAGAAATGGAATGCCCATGGGCTACGCAGGAATCCAAGTTGTAGATTCATAAAAGATACCAGTCGGCGACAACGTGATGCCAATTTGGCAGTGTCTTCCCGAGCTTAGGCATTTTGTCTCTCCTCAACACCAAGACAGTCATGCTCAATTGTCGTTCGTCTACGAGTCTTGCTTACAAGGGTAAAACCTTGGAGCGGTCTCCGAGGAACTTGGCACGATATGCGGTTATTTCTCCTGCCACGATGTTGAAATCTCTGATCTTCCTGGAACGAATGTCGTGGATGACCTCTCGCAAGCCATTGCCGAATTCGTCAGGCGAGGAGCCGTCGTCTGGTTTAGCTCCCAAATCAACAAGGATCTTGTCATCTGCGAGAGTGATGAACCTTGAGTCAGCTTGCGAACTTCATGGAGTTGTGAAACGAGTACCGATAAACCACGGAACAATACGAGAAAAGCAGCAGAGAATTACACGCAATCAAGCCTCAATTAACGCACCACTCAAACCAATGCTCCTCAAATGCTGACTCGGGCAAGAATCATCATTGCATACGCCGTCTAACTCATAGCGACAAAGTGGAATTTCTGGATTGATAGTATGACTATAAGTCAATGATCGAAAGCCATTGGAGACTTCCTCAAGATACTGAGGATGATACCGAAATGACTTGAATTGCTTCAAGGGACTTTCATATGGGGTAAAATGTCCCGTTTTGCCGTTGGACTCAAGCTTTTGCACCTGGTTTGATTCAGCGAGCTTCGGCGAAGAAGAACGATATCTTACACTGTGAGACCCAGCTCCGATTGTAATGGCATCCACACTCACCTGTTGATGAACGGCTGATGTTGAGTCGAAGCTCGCAGGCGCAATGAAATCATGACTATCAACATCAGGTGGAGAAAAGGATTTCTCCGAATCGACGCTCGATATCTCAGTAGGCCGCGGTACCTCTTCACCTAATGGTGCTGGCTCGGGCGGTTCATAATCATCGGGGTCACTAGCATCAGCCAGAGACTGACTACGATTTAGTGATCGCTGTGATTGCTCGTCACCCGCCATACCAGCATTGGCGGCCGGTGATGGCTCAACCGAACTCGGCTTTTCTATAGGCTCAGCCTCCTGGTCAGCAGGAAGCGGATTATGCATTGCGGCTGGTCGATCGGTCTTCGCTGTTCCGAGGTCCAGGACAGCATCAGGTTCTGGCTCCTGTCGTTGCGTTATACTTATTTCACTGGGCGGCTCATAAGTCTCGTCGTCGTCGATAGAACCAGAAGTGTCCTGAACCTCAGTTAAGGGCTTCGGGCTGTGAAAAGAGGGCTCGGCTTCGTCGACATCGCTACGGGACATTTCCATGATGTCTTCCTCGAGTTCTCCATCTGACATCCGAATGTCTGCCGTTCGCGTTGACGACTTGTCTTGCACCACCCTACCGTTCCCGGCCCCGGCAGTGCCCGAAAGTTGTATTGAATCCAAGTCGGGGACTGTCTCAATTGACGCTGCGGGTTTCGTCAAAGCTAACAAAAGAGATCCCAATCAATCTGTGTTACTTTGAACACATCGACGGCCTTGATAAGTAGGCGCACTTACCTGGTATTTCTTGGATGCTTGTTGATTGATTTGGTATGTCCCCCACGTCACAAGAATCGAGATCCATAGGCCTAGGCAGGGCCTCTCCAGATCGCGACAAGTTGTTAAGCTCTTCAATCAGAACTTGCCTGCCTTCGATGCCTTTCTGGAGTTCAGTTTCTAGACCTACTATTTCTTGTCGTAAGGACTCAAGCCTTATTCTTGTCCTCTCTACTTCGGCATCGAGGAGTGGCAATCCAGACTCTATTTCGGTCTTTCGAGCCTGCCGTTGGTTGCTGAGGGATGTTTTCCGTTCTCGCTCTTGCAAGTGCTTCTGTCGTGCCTCTTGCGCCCGCCTCTGTTCTTGCTCCTGAAGATGGTGGTCTACCTCTTGTTGTCGTAGATTCTTGTTGTCTTGTTCGCGCGCTTGCTGACTCTGGCTTTCTTCCAGACGTCGCTGTTCCTCATCCTGAAGCCGCTTCTGCTTTTCGTCTTTGAGTCGCTGCTCCTCTCCCCGCAGATTCGACTGCTCCTCTGCTTGTGGAATTTGCATTCTCTCAATCTGCGTAAGCGATTGGTCCGCTGCCGAGGCTCGAGAAATCTCCGCGGCCAAGGAACGCTCAGCCTCGGCCTTTGCTAGTTCGACTTCCTCTAACTGTTGCTCTGCATTGAGCTGCTCTTCTGCTGTGGAATCATTTCCTTCAGCGAGAGTAGCGAACGATTCTCCGTTCTTGACACGTGCGATATCGCCATTCCGTGAGTCTGAGATGCTCGAGGGCGTATTCGGTGTGCCGTTGCTCTGATGTGGAGCTTCACCTGGAGGTGGTGAAGTTGTCACGCGACTGCAATTTCCAGGACTGTGAGTGCGGCTTGTAGTTTGCTTTGCCTTAATAGCGATACGCTGCTCGAGCTCAGCAATTTTGCGATTCATGACTTCGATTTCCATCTCCTTCGATTTTAGACCTTTCAGATCGCCACTTTGCCCCGAGACTTGCGCAGCAGGAGGCGTCATAATAACTGTTTTCTTGCGTGGCGGAAAATCAGTCAGCGGAGGCAGGCTCTTGACCAGTCTCTCATTGCCATTGCCTGGAGCAATGACTTGAGAATTTCTTGATAGAGAATCTCGACGACCGGCAATGTCTGTGTCTAAGGATTCATCTCCCGAGGTGTTATTGCTGACCTCATCGTCGCTAATGTCTATAATGACACTGGTATCCTCTTGCTGCCCCAGTGGTCTCTTTACCCTGGTGGAAGGTGAATCGATGAAGTCAGAAGCTTTCTGGCGCTTTCGGTTGGGTGAAACTGTTGTTGCGATGGTGGCTGGTAAAGCAGAATTCAGATCGAAGGAAGTTTCGGGTAAGCGCGGTGTCTCATCTGTAGTTGGAGACTGAGCCGAGACCGCAGCGTGTGGACGAAGGCCTTGCTTTGACGCAGCGAAGGTGGCTAAACCGACTGTCTGCGGTGAGAATGCGAAGCCCTCGTTCGCGAGTGGTTGCGAAGGGTTTACAGGTTCCGGAGCATCTGATGTCATAAACAGTCCGGGGATGCTAAAAGGGGGCTTCTGGCTTGCTGGCGAAAAGTAAGAGCTTTGGCGACTGGGTACAGGTCGAGATGTTGGAATAGAGCTTTCAGCTGGGATGTTTGGAACACCTTTGGCGGGAGGTTGCTGACTGTGTCTCATTGCATCACTGCTGGTTGTTGATCGAGCCTGTTGTTGAATGCTCTCACGAAGTTTTAGTGCCTCAATCTTCTGACGTGCTAGATCTGTCTGAGCTTTTCGTTTCGCTTCTACATCCGAATCTTCATTTTGAATTCCCTGTGCGGTATCGACCGATTCACTTGGTGCTTGCTGAGCGGTAGCCGGAATAATCGCTGAGGCAGCGTCTGACGACTGGACTTGAGCAGATGTTCCCGAGTCTGTGATAGTGGATAACTTAGGGGACACAGGGGTAGTGGCGCTGACGGTGGGCTTGCCAGCCTTAGCTGCTAGCATTCGGGCAATATATTCTTTGCGATCGAGTATTTTTGTCTCGCCAGCTTTGATCCCGGTAGCTTTACCTAATGGATTCAAACTCGAGGATTTCGATAGTTTCGCTGAGCTGGCTTGACTCTGCACTGACTTCTCCTCGTTCTTGTTCGCTGCAACAGTCGGTTGGCTGTTGATCTTGCCTTCCTCGTTTACCAGATGTGGAAACGTGTCATCGCCAAGGACGCTGTCATTTGAGCCTCTCTGTGGCGGTTTGGGATGTTGGTCGTGAATGCCCACAATTGCCTCACCTGGTGTGCTTTCAGTCGGCACGTCTCTAGCGCCAACTCGTGGTTTCACGATTTTCTGTTGCAGTAGATTTGAAGAAGCTGTGACTGATAGCCCGATATTGGTGTAGAGTTTCCGGAGTATATCAGGATTCAAGCCCGCATTGACAATTCGGTTGAAGTCAAACCCTTCCGAATGCAAGTCTCGTAATGCTTGTTTGGCTTCGTCCATCTTTTGATCTACCAATCGCAGACTTGCTTCCTTAGATCCTTGTGCAACGGTATCCATTGACAGCTGAGGCTGGGCTGATGTGTTCTCTGCCGTCCGCGAAAACAGAGGATCATCTAGATGATCGATGAAGCCGTTCCGCATGGGATATGGGCGAGGTTGCGATGCAGTGGAGCCCGGGGAGTTAGGCGCAGCAAGCGAGTCTGGGGCAAAGATATTAGAATATGAAGTCAGACCTGTCAACCAGCGTCGAGCGGCAGGAAAATACCTCGAATGAGCCCAGGAAGCGGTTTATTTGGAGCGTTTGCAACACGGTGACCGGATTCTCTGTCTGCAGGGTCTTCGTCCTCATGTCGCTTGTGTTGCGCCATTCCTGAAAAGGTCGCCGTACTCGCTCTTGAATGACGGGTTGACTTCTCGATTTCTCCGTCGTCAAGTTCGCCGTCTTCTAGTTCGGACAATGCAGGTGGAACCGTATCTGAGTCCCTAATGTTCGTGCTTTGGACCTCCGCGGCAGCCTGAAGATTTGAGAAGACAGTACCAGGATTTGAAGGAAGATTTGAACTTGTGGAAGGTTGAGTAAAGTGTTGAGCTTCGTAAGAAGGCCCACCATGCGCAGACGGCGTTGGAGGGAATGCTGGAGATTGAAAGGCACTGTATTGGATTTGCCCACCATGAGGTGGGTATGGGGCTCCATAGATTTCGTTCCCAGAGCTGGGTGTTGTCACACCTTGAGCATTTGAACGAAAGGAATGGGTATTCGCATTTGTATGTGGTACTATAGGCATACCATTCATTTGGCCTTGGCCATACAGAGACGAAGCATTTTGATATGGATACGGGTATTGAGGTAGACCATTATCGTAGCTGCCAACTGGAGGTTCCATGTGGACGTTAGGGTTGAAAGGGGTCCCAAATGTAGGTGGACGAGGATACTTCGACATGGCGAATGGCTTGCTTCATGGGTCAAGAGGATGTGACAGGTCGAAGTTCACTGGTGGTTAGTCGCAAAGCGTTCAGAGAGCACTTGAATGTACATAGGAGATTGCGCAGAGCAGCGCGCATGGTGGACGAGGAGGAAATAAGGACTGATAGGAATCTACGGTTCAAGGAGAAAGACGCCACCGGGATTCGCAGGAGTGAGTGTCGAAACTGACTGGATCAAGAGGGAAGTGAAGCTGATGAATAGTGGTGAAGAAGTGAAGGAGTGAAGAAGTGAATGCGTAGCTCAGAGGCAAAGGTATAACATCAGCGACTTGAGAATTGAGAATAGTGTCGTGTCGTTGTAGGCAAAGTAAGGTACTTTAGGCTTGGTAGGTTAGACTAATAAAAGTGCCCTACTCCGTACTTCGCTGGTCGCTCGCATTTTTGCAGATTCGAGAACCTCAAATAAACTCTCGGCCCGTTCAGCGCCGAGCCAATCCAGCCTTGGCAAGCGCGACGCGAGTTGCTTCTACCTTACCCCTGCAAGAGCTAATCGCTGTGTTTACTTTCTGCCTTTTGGTGAAGAGCAAGCTGTTTTGAGCCTGCTGTGTTCGCCTTTCGCTCACTTACTAGATCACGGCCGCTGTACTGATCTGTTTTCACTCGTGATAGTATCATGTCTTTACGTGCGATTTGATTTACTGCTGTTTGGTCGAACAAAATTGGCAGAGGGAGATCGGCAGCATGTCAACAACAGGTCCTGGCAGCGCCCGATGGCGCAACAATGCTTTCGACAGAGGTTCACCTTCCCCTTCGCCAGGCCTGGCGGTGCCCAGTACAAGACCCAGATCCGCTATCATTACCTCGCCTTCGGGCACGGGAACCCCTGCAACGCATAATCGAAACCAGTCATTTTCTCCTCCGAGTGGATCAAGCTTTGCGTCATTACAGCCGGCGATGCAGAGATCGACTTCAACCAGGACGACTCACCAATTATCTAACACCTTTGCACCAAAGTTCATTAAGACCGAAGAATCTCAAAGGGCTGGTGACAAGATTGGCGGAATCGAGGGCGAGAACGACTTTTCTGGAAAACGTTACGTCTGGCTGCGAGACCCACAGTCAGCGTTCGTGAGAGGATGGGTAGTCGAGGAGCTTCTTGGAGGCCGTTTGCTTGTGCAATGTGACGACGGGAGCGTAAGGTGGCTAAACATTCAATTGAACTTGCAGGGATTGCTGACAGTGACTCAGCAACGAGAGGTCGATTCTGAGACCGTTGATAAAGTAAATCCTGCCAAGTTCGACAAGGCAGATGATATGGCAGAGCTCACTCACTTGAATGAGGCCTCTGTGGTCCATAATCTCCATATGAGATATCAAGCAGATTTGATCTATGTTAGTCATCCGAGCGACGATTTGAGGCTCAGCTAATCGATGTCACCAGACCTATTCTGGCTTGTTTTTGGTCACCGTCAATCCGTACTGTCCCCTGCCTATTTACACCAGCGATTATATGAAGATGTACAAGGGGCGCAGCAGGGAAGATACAAAACCTCACATATATGCAATGGCTGATGGTGCCTTTCGGAATCTGATCGAGGAGGGTGAGAATCAGAGCATTTTGGTCACGTAGGTTTCTTTCACATCGATTATCCAGTCTCCGCTTATGCTTCGATCAGTGGCGAGTCAGGTGCTGGCAAAACTGAGAACACTAAGAAAGTCATTCAATATCTTGCAGCCGTAGCAACTTCTGACTCTCCAGGGGTAAAATCTGGAGGACGGCAGTTCTCTAACCTTCCGCAGCAGATCTTGAGGGCCAACCCGATTCTAGAGGCTTTTGGGAATGCCCAGACTGTACGCAACAACAATTCTTCACGTTTCGGGAAATTCATTCGTATTGAGTTTACACGGTCAGGACAAATCGCAGGAGCTTTCATTGACTGGTATCTGCTAGAGAAATCCCGAGTCGTAAAGCTCAACTCCAGTGAAAGAAATTATCACGTGTTCTACCAATTGCTTAGAGGGGCAGACCGACGCATGAAGGAAGACTTCATGATCGCTGATCTAGGAGTGGAGGATTTTATCTACACGAGAGGTGGTAACGATATGATTGCTGGAGTCTCAGATGTTGATGAGTGGAGCTCGTTGCTGGAGGCTTTCCATATCATGGGCTTTTCTGAAAAGGAGCAGCGATCTGTGCTCCGTACTGTCGCTGCAGTTTTGCTCCTTGGTAACGTCACAGTGATGAAAGAGAGCATGCGGGCCGATCAAGCCACACTCACGGAAGATGCTCATGCACAAGCCAAGAAAGTCTGCCGGCTGCTCGGAATTGCCGTTGAGCCTTTTATTCAAGGATTGCTTCACCCAAAAGTCAAGGCCGGTAGAGAGTGGGTCGAGAGAGCTCAAACGCCAGAACAGGTCCGCTCATCTTTGGATGCCTTGTCGAAGGGTATCTACGAACGAGCTTTTGGCGATCTCGTGTCTCGGATCAATCGTCAGCTTGACCGGACTGGTATGGGTCTTGATGATTCCCACTTCATCGGAGTCCTGGATATCGCCGGTTTTGAGATATTTGAAGAGAATAGCTTCGAGCAACTGTGCATCAATTACACCAACGAGAAACTTCAGCAATTCTTCAACCACCACATGTTTGTCCTCGAGCAAGAAGAGTATGCAAGGGAGCAAATTGAGTGGAAATTCATCGATTTCGGAAAGGACCTCCAGCCCACCATTGATCTCATTGAGCTCCCGAACCCCATTGGAATTTTCTCCTGCCTTGACGAAGACTCCGTCATGCCAAAAGCTACTGACAGATCCTTCACTGAGAAGATGCACTCTTTATGGGAGCGGAAGACGCCCAAATATAGGCCGTCACGTTTAGCTCAAGGATTCATCCTGACACACTACGCAGCTGAAGTGGAATATTCTACGATTGGATGGCTGGATAAGAACAAAGACCCGCTAAACGACAACATCACAAAGCTTCTTGCATCTTCCCATGACAAACACATCGCTACGCTCTTTACCGACTGTGCCGACCCTGATGAGGATGCCGGCGCAACAAGGAGTCGTGTCAAGAAAGGGCTCTTTAGGACGGTGGCACAACGACACAAGGAACAACTTTCCAGCTTGATGAATCAGCTTCACTCCACTCATCCCCACTTTGTGCGTTGTATTCTGCCGAATCATAGGAAGCGGCCTAAGCAGTTCAGCGCACCGCTTGTCCTCGACCAACTGCGATGCAATGGTGTTCTTGAGGGCATAAGGATTGCCAGGACCGGCTTCCCCAATAGACTGCCCTTTTCAGAGTTTCGTCAGCGATACGAAGTTCTTTGCCGCAACATGCCTAAGGGCTATCTTGAAGGTCGAACGGCCGCCCAGATGATGCTCGAAAAACTGGATTTGGACAATGCTCTTTATCGAGTAGGCTTAACGAAAGTTTTCTTCAGAGCCGGCGTGCTGGCAGAACTCGAAGAGCAGCGTGACTCTCTCATTCGGGATATCATGTCTAGATTTCAATCAGTCGCAAGAGGATTTACCCAACGAAGGATCGCAAACAAGCGCCTGTATCGAGCGGAAGCGACTCGAATCATTCAGCGTAACTTCGCGGTCTACAGCGACCTTTGCAACAATCCATGGTGGAGACTCTTCGTTCGGATGAAGCCTCTGCTAGGTGCTACCAAAACTGCTGGAGAAGTCAGAAAGCGCGATGAGACGATTCAGAAGCTGGAGGTCCAAGTGCAGCAGGAGAGTAACGATCGACTGAGGCTCGAAGAAGAGAGAAGGCGTGCAGAAACCGAAGTCCAACGCATTCAGCAAACCCTGGAAAGTGAACGCTCACTCGCGCTCGACAAAGAGGAAATTTTCAAGCGCCTGCAGCAGCGTGAAGCAGAGCTGATCGAAAAGCTTGCAGGTGCGATAGAAGATCAAGAAAGCCTTGAAGACCAGCTCGACGACCTCATTGATGCTAAAAAGAGGGCGGAAGAGCAAGCTGAGAAATGGCGTGGCCAGCTTGAGCAGGCGGGACACATCATTAGCAGACTAGAAGCCGACAAGAACGAGCTTATAGACAGAATTTCCGATTTGGACGATCGAATTAGCGAAAATGAGAGAGCTAGGACCGAGAAAAATGATAGACACGGGGAACTCATCCAGAACAATAAGATGCTAGAGAGCCAAATGCGCTTGCAAGAACGAAAAGTCTCCGACCTTGAGAGCAAGCTTCTCAAAATAGACCAAGACTTGGATATCAAGCTAGCTACAACCGCAAAGGACTTGCAGCTCTCACGAAAACAGGTCAAGGATCTTTTGGACGACAACCGCCAAATCCGACAACAACTCCAAGAGCTCTCATCCACTTCCACCGGCTACGAGGATATGATGAGACGGAAGGAGAGCGAGATTGCTGTATTGAGATCGGACCAAAAGAGGCACGATGCCGAGCGCATGACACTGGAGGCGGAGCGAAGCATGTTCGCTTCTCGGCATGATAACATCCAGACGCGGTTGCGTGAGATCCAGGCGGAAGTCGATGCTACCAAATCGCAAAAAGCTCAACTAGAAAGGGAGGCAGCAGATACCAAGAGAGTCCTTGATGCCAAGTTATCTGAGGACACACAGGCCAGCAATAGCCGCAAGATGTTGAACGGCCAGATAGAGGATCTTAAGGTGGAGCTGTTCCAAGTCCAGGCGGAGCTCAGTCGCGAGAGACAGTCTAGGGACGACGTCCAGATGCTAAGTGATCACAAGATGACGGCCTTGAAGGAGGAGTATCAGAATCTCAACGAATCGAAGATAACCATCGAGAAAGAGCTTTATGTGCAACAAGATACTCTCCGCCGTGCAGTTGAAGCACGGGCTAATGCTGAGAAAAGTCGTAAAGACCTGCAAACGGAACTGAAAAAGCTGCGTGAGCGCTTCGTGGAGGCGGAGTCCTCAAGACTGCAGGCCGAGACAGCAATGGAGCGTAGCATTTCTCGGCAAGCGAATGAGCGTCAAGCCACCCTTAGAAAGGAGCTAGATATGAAGAATGCGCGATGCGACCAAATCGAGGCCGAGTGCCACCATCTAGCAGATGAAGTGCAATCTCTCACCGAGATGATTGCTGATTCAGACAACTTCCGTACCCAGCACGACCAGCATAAGGAACGCTTGGAGAGAGAGCTGATAACCGTCAAAGGCCGATTAACAGCGTCAGAGAATGACAATCGTGCACTTTTGAACAAAGTTCAGCAGAAGAACCTAGACATTGCAAGATCAAATTCTAGAGCTGGCGACTCGCAGAGGTCTAGGATGGGCCAATTGCAAGCGGAGAAAGCAAAGTTGGACGAAGACAATAAGAGACTGTCACGACAGTATAATGACGCCCAACTATCGATTACGTCCCTGGAGAAACAGAAAGAGAAGCTCGCTTTAAGTATGGAAGATTTCAATCACGAGCTTGAACGGGAGCACAAGGCAACCCGTAGTGCCGAGAAGACCTCTTCTAGTGTCAGCATTCAATTTGCTGAGGCCAACCGGAATCTGGAGTCTGAGAGGCAGCTCAAAACTCAAGCTCAAGCCAACACCAGAAAGCTACAAAGCATGCTCGATGGCGCCAACGGAGAAGTCCAAGAGTCTCGGCGACAGCTTACCCTTTTGCACAAGGTCTTCGACCCTGAATCGAAGGAGACGGTGCCCTCGTGGGAAGCTGTAGCTCCACGCCTGCGGGACTACATAGACCTGGCTGCACAATTGGAGGCTTCCAAGCAGGCTCTGCGAGTGACAGAAGAGAGATTGGGGCGCGCCGAGAACCAAATCTCCGAGCTTCGACGGCGACACGACAGCGAAGTATCGGAACTTGATGCTCGTCATTCGTCTTCGAAGCGTCAGCTTCTCGAGGAACTTGATCAGAATACGCTACCAGCTAGGAAATCACCAAAGCACTTGCGCAAGGTCTCTGATCTAAAGCCATACTCCAAAACTTCTACTCCTGATCGTCGTCACATAAGCAACGCCACAAATGATTCCGGCCGCTCTGATCGCACGGTTGACACAGCCGCCTACAACAAGCGGATGGATCTTGCGGCTGAGTTAGAAATGGTGCAGAATCAGCTTCAGATGACCGAAATGCAAAATCGCCACTTGCAAAGCCAAATTGGACATTTCTCGCCGCAAAGAGATTCGTGGCAGGATGATAGCCCATCAGTCAGGCGTGTACAGAAACTCGAAAGGGAGAATGGCCGACTTCACGACCGACTGGATGATTCTGCAAAGAAGGTATCTGCGTTAGAGAGGGCAGTACACTCTGGAGAGCTGTCACTACGAGACGTGCAGGCGCAATCTCATGAAGAGCTTTACGATCTCATCAACTCGCAAGAGAACTCTCGGAAGTCATTGGTCCAGGTTTACAACAACACTGTTGCTGACCTGGCTGAAGCCAAGTCACATTTTGACAACATCAAACATGTCCGTGCGTCTCTAGAGGTAGAACTTCGGGATACAAAATCCGAACTTCGAGAAGTATCTGCTGCAAACGAGCACGAAACAGCATCCCGAAATCAACTTTTGCAAGAATTTTCGGATCTTCAAATAAGACTTGATGCAGAAGCTTCCAAAGCCGGAGATCTTGCATCGAGTCTGAGCCTCTACAAGCGGCGAGCCGACGAGTACTTCAGTAAACTCGAACAAGCGGAAATTGCCGTGCTCAGAGCTTCCCGTGCAGAACAATCTGCCAGGGCACAAGCGAAAGAAAGCGAGGATACCTATGCATCAGTCATGGCTGAGCGCAAGCAGATGGATTCTCTCGTCGAAGACTTGCAGCGACAGAATCAACACTACGAGGAAAAAGTTGAAGATCTTGCTGCAGATCTTGATGGCGCTCTCCAAGCGAGAAAGAGACTTCAGCATGAACTTGAAGACTATCGGAGCCAACGGGCCATGGATGTAGAAGACAAAGAGACTTCCATGGAGCAGACCAGGAGGAAGTATCAGAACGAGTTTGCAACTCTGACCAATGAGCTAGAGATCGAGCGCGAAAACGTCATTCATGTCCGCTCCGAGAATACACGCATACGGGACGAACTGGAAGAGTTGAGATCGAAATGGGATGATGAAGTCCTAAATAGTTCATCGTGGGCGAAAGAGAAGTCGAGACTCGAAATGACTCTGCAAGACTTGTCATTATCAAGAGAAGAAGCGCTCAATGCTCATAATGATGCGCAAGGAAAGATCGTCTCTCTTCTGTCGCAGGTCCGTAACTTGCGTACCTCAATGGACGACGTCGCCGCCGAAAGAGATATGCTTCAAAAGGAGAAACGCGGTCTTGAAGCCCGTTTGTCCGAAGCTGGTGATCGTCTTGAAGATCTCGCCCGTGGCGAAAGCCCGTCAATGCGCAATGCTGCAGGTATGGACCGTGAGCTACTGGACCTGAAGTCTCAGCTTGCCCAGCAAGAAGATGTGGCAGCCGCTGCTATCGGGAAAATGCGCAGAGCAGAAGCTTTGACTACCGAGATGCAGAAGGATGTCGTCTCCGAAAGGGAGACGACTGTCACTCTGCACAAAGAGAAGGCAGGCCTGGAAAAAACGGTCAAAGACTTGCAAGGCCGGGTAGTGGATTTGGAGACAAAAGGGTACACATACGCTAGCCAGGACGTGCGCTTTTTGAATGGCAGGGTGCATGAGGTAAGATGATGGATCTGTCTAGGACCCTTTTAGAGGTGGCTAATAATCCCCCGTGCCAACAGCTGGAGCATCAGCTCGAAACCCAAGAAAACACACACTCCGCCTCCCTTCGTTCCGTCCGCAACGTCGACCGCACAGTGCGTGATCTCCAGTCACAGCTCGCCCGCCGCGACAAACTTGCCAACCAACTCACAGATGACGTCGCTAAAGGTCGCGACAAGATAGAACGTCTGCTACAGACAGTTGACGAGCTACAAGCCGAAGAGGCAAAGAGCCAATTGAGCGCTAGGAGAGCGGAGAGGGATCTGAGGGAGGAGAGAGAAAAGGGGCTCAGGCTTGAAAGAGAACTGGAAGGATGGAAAGGGCTGAGAATGGAACGAGGGGCTGGTGGAAAGGGTGGTGGCAGCGAGTGGGGCGGGAGTATAAGAGGTAATCATGCGGCAAGGGGCAGTGAGAGTGGAGACGGTATTAGGAGGATGTTGAGTGATAGTAAAGGGTTTCTGTAAATATGGGAGGATTGGTGCGATTGCGACTCGAGGCATTTGCGCAGGCGTTGAGAGTTGCTGAACTGCATCAGCATTGTCCGTCATCGGAAATACCCTTGATCGAATACAACGTTTGTGGGCTATTCTCGAGCTTCACTTTCTGTATAAAGTGAAAGGGTACGTTGAGCAGGCTGCAGAAATGAACCTAAGTATCTCCTTTATATTCCTGTGCCGGAGTAAGGATTTTGTCGCCAGACACACGACGCCAGATGTGAGTGACTTGTTTCCCACTTTTGTCCTCCGCCAAATGCCGGAGAAAGCCATCTCCTTGCCAGTGGATGACTCGCCTTTTCACATCCACATATCGACAGCGAAAACCATATCATCATTTCTCTCCCCATTTGCCATACTCCGCTTGCCATTTCATCAACCTCCTTGTTAACATTTCCATCATCGCCACACTACTCAGCGCCGCGAAAGCCTGCTCATTGACGCCCTCTAAATCTGCCAAGGCTGCGTTGACCGTTTTCCCATTATCCCTATCATATTTTGAACCATTACCGTGTCCGTCGCTCCTGTTGTCGTTGCTTTCTGGGGGAGTGTTTGTGCTGGTCGATGATTTCGTCGTTGAGGGTGGCCCAACCCCTGCCATCTCCACTTGCGTGTGGGAGATGAACTCCAGAATGCCGGCAACACGGCGTTTCATGTCGTTCATGCTGGTACGATTGAAATTCATGTGGCGCGGCTTGGAGGGTTTGCCAAACCCATTGCTATCGGCAAATCCAATGCCGGTGCTGCTGCCATTGAGATGTGGTGTTCCGTTTTCTGCATCATGAGAGTTGTTACTTCGCGCGGGCGACATAGTGCTGGTTGGCATCTCGGCAGGGAGGTCACGGTCCTTAGTGTATTGATTCCTTCCAACACGGCCTCGCTTTGCCGGTGGTCGCCCGGTCTTTTTCTGTACGCTCTTGGGTGGCAGGTGATCTGGAAGGGCAGGGGCAGCGAAATGGGCGTTGGTGGTGTTGGCGCCCCTGGCAGAGACAGTCCGCGAGAGTGGTTGAGGCGAAGGATCGGACTCTAGGAGTGAAGAGTATTAGCAGATTCAGGTGGCTGGATGAGCTCTCAGGGCACAATACCATCGCCTCGCCGTCGTTCTGCACGGCCTTTGCGGCCGCCAAATGCATCTGCGCGTTCCTTTTCTCGCTGAGCTTCGCGATCTCGAACTTCTTTGTTGCGGTGATTTCGAGCTGCTGCGCCTCTGATGTTTTTGGTTTTCTCTGGCTTCTCGATTTCATTCTCCGAGTCCGCATCACGGCGACGACTTTTGCTTTGAGAGGCCGAGGAAGCAGAACCTGAAGCAGTCCGTTGGCGCTTCGCGTTTTCGTTACGCCTGTTCCAATTAGCTCGTGAAGCACATTCATCGCGCCGCATAGAAACCTAGAAAAATCGTGCAGGACTCACTCTTCGCTTTCGCTTCGACTCCGCTTACCCTTTCGTCTGCCCGTAGTTGTGAATGGGGCTCCACCTTCCCTCTTACTCTCCTCAATTGCTCGTCGGAGCTGCTCTTCTTCATACGCGGCGTCACGGCTATTCATCGTCGAGCGGCGCCCCTTCGATGTATTATCCGCGTTGGCAAGTGGTTTTCTACCATCTCTAGACTTTTTCGAATGTTGTTTAGCAGCAGGAGCTGGAGAGGACGGTGATGACTTCGATTCCTGCATAGGCAGGTAGTGAGAGTATTTCCGTCTAGGGTCGGACTGTCAGCAGAGCCCATGGGCAATAGAGTGCATACTCACCCATTAGTGGTAGTGGTACTTTTGTGCAAGTCCTGGCGACACTGCTCACAGAAGTATTCCTCGGGGCTCGTAGCTTCATCCATGATCCCAACACAGCCTCCATGTTGCCAGACTTTACATAGATCACATTGTATAAACCACCCGGTAGTATCTTCAGCGAAAGACGCAGGATTTGACTCGTCCTTGGAGACGGTTTTGGCGGGGTCGGGGTCAGGCAATCCTGGATATTCCTGGTTCCCACAAATGCATCTTGTCACTTCTTCTTCGACTTCGTCGTCATTCTCGTCGTCGATTGCAGGCGGGGCTTCGTCTTTGGGGTCGTCTTGGCTACTCCTCGTCCTCCGCGACTGTGGTCTGGCTGGCGCTTCAGAATCTTCGGGAGACTGCGATCGAGCAGCTACTGAGCTCCGCGGTGATGGTAACTTGTTTTGCGGGCGGGCGCTGCGATCTGCCGGACCAGAGGAGATAGAGGACGAGGAGGAATTGGTGTGTTGCGGTGCAGATGGCGTTGGCTGTGTGGTACGCGCCCGTGACGAGCGACGGGGAGACATAAGCAGCTCTTGGTTTGCTAAGGACTAGCAAGCATGGTCAAAGTGCTTTGAGGCTATGGGAAGTACTGATTTAGGTTCTGCTTATGTGTGCGACTTCCAGATTTGACAAATTGGAGCCGACGTGTGAAGATTGAGGAAAGACTTGATCAGAATGAGTTTTGGATGTAGGACCCAAGGCTTGTCGGTGCAGTGAAATAGCTGACAGGAGGGAAATTGAATTGATAGAACATGAGAGCTCTAGGAGTTCGTAGAGATTTATTAGAGGGAAGAGGGGAGTTTCGCGTCTTCACGAGCACTGTCCTCACTAGACCCTGTTAGGAAACGGAGTTTACCTTACGGCTTTAACATCATCTCGAGTCTCACAATTCAAGTGAAATCTTGGCACCCAAGTTGGAAAAGGAAATCAGACTGGAGCATTTCTTGAGTTTGGAATCTCCTCCATCTGAGGGTGGCCGCCAGATAATGACAAGCCAGCCGAAGTGACAGGGACTTGACATGATAAGGGCCAAGTAAGTATATTGGATTCGGATGCTCACTACGAGTACATCAAATACTTTAAGATATAGCATGTATCTGTGCATCCAAGGCCAGTGGAGACGGATAATTCTTCCTATCAATATGACAATATCATTTATATTCCCCAAGACAATCCTACAGCACACATCGTTTCAATCATCCATCGCCAAGGAGTATATACCTATCTCTTTGAAAATAGAAGAGCTCAGTAATTCGCCTTAAAAGCTCGACAACTCCACCAGTACCCCACCAGTACCCCAACTTGTAGGGTCGACGGCCGAATTGCTATTTCTAGATTTGACCTCTTCAAAGCGGCTTCTGCAACTGATCATGGAGATAAAGTAAATGTCTGATTTGAGGGCATCTAGCGCAACACAGAGAGAGAGCAAAGCGCTCACTCTTGGAGTTGAAGGAGAGTCGAACAGAGTCCCATGCCGCTGCATTTGCCCGTCTATGAGATGGACCGGGCCAATGCACACGTCCATCCAGCTCTAGCTTTCTCAGGCGTCGATAACGAGAGCTACTCAATTCTGAAATGTTACGTGGGAAAGCTTCGATGCCGACTTTGTCCATCTGTTGGGATTAGGGAGACAGATGAGTGGAGCTGACCTGAGACAATGACTTGGAGAAGTGGGTGGAAAAGGGTGTCATAGTAGGTATTGGAAAAGCAGAAGAGCCCCTCAAGCGTCCTTCATGACGTTTCATGAGCTTTGTAAAGACGACACTCAACATATATTGTGATGCGGAGAGAGAATCCAAGAGCCTGAAAGCAGATAGGCGCAGGGCAAGGCACAGGTACAGGTACAGGTACAGGTACAGGTGCAGGTGCAGGTACAGGTGCAGGCGCAGACACAGAGACACAGAAACACAGAGACACAGAGAACACAGAGACATCGAGGTTGTACAAGGACCTTGTCTCTGACGCGGATATTCGGCCAAAATACAAGGCGATGCCCAAAGGCGTTACGGTGATTTCCCAAAAGGCTATCGACTGCATGGTGTCATGAAAGCGAATGATTAAGTAAGGTCAGGTATTATTATAATTATTGATTAGGATAATTAGTACTCGTAGCTGTCTTCAACATCAAAATTTTTCCTTTGCCCACTCAACAGCTGCCGAGTCTTTTACCTACCATCCATTTTGTTGAATCCTCCAAACCCCTTCCTCGCTGCTCGAGACTTGCAAAGGGAATCAAGTCAGCAGCTTGCCTACCCACAAGTACTAGTACCCAACTCCTGTATATCAGCATTTGTAAGATTATTCTCCGCTTCGAGTCAAATTCTCTTGAACAGCGACCGTGGACTCCCAACCCTGACCACTGTACTCTAGCTATGCTGGCGAGCCACGTTGACTATTCCAATTGCGAGTGTGATCACAGAGAGCTTACCTTCATCATTTAGACATCTCCATCAATTGTCCATGTGTCAATCTCTCTAGCCACTAGCCATACATACGCGACGTACATACCCGTACTGTTGCTGTCAGCGGCCTTATATACACAAAGGAGTTGCATATTGAAGCTGGCGGACAGAGATCGTGGACACCATGGCAGCCACACTAGGTACGAGCTCACGCCTTCCCTTGCAAACTTAGGAACAACAACCATCCTTACTTCAAAGCTATGTAAAGCTATCAATACCATTCACCATATGCTCCTCATGCATCCTATATGCATTTTCGACCATTTTGGTATAAGGCTGACACGGTTCTTGTTCCCTATCTTTGCAGGAGCTACATACTCTCCGCCTCCTCCACTAGAATTACACTACTCCGATACCACCTCCTCTATTTACCCAGACCGGCCTATCCGGCCCCTGCCAAAGAAACGTCTACGTTCCCGACTATCCTCAGAGGTCGCGGACTCTATCTTGTATCCACCGGCCACGACGTTGTCAAAGCCACTCTTTCAATTTCCATACAATGGCCCGACGGATCAGCAGAATGGATTACCTGCCCGAGCGCATCTATCCGAGATGGATGCTAATCTAGTACGAGAGCAAAGGAATGGTGACGGTGAAATTGATAGCTACCAATTTAGGGGGGCCGAGAATGGCAGCGACGACGAAGATGGCGTTGGTATGGCAAGGCGCTGTCAAGAACAGCGCCAGAGGCCCGGAAGTGTGAATAATATGTTCAGGAGTGGTTATACGCTTTCAA